TCCTGCTCACAGCTTCATTTTCTTCTGTTGGGAATGTTTGTCAAGTTTTCTGATAACTGGGGAGAAAGAATCCTGTACCAGTGATACCTTTTAAAGGAGGGGAAGTGACATTCACAGTAATTCACTGTTCTTCTCTCAGAACTTGAAGATTACCTCCATTTTTAAACCTTCTGATTTTTTTTTCTCTAACTGTACATTTTTTTTCTTAAATTGTGGTATTGCTTGTCTTAATGGGGTTCTTTGGGGAAGTTTGCCTTCTGTGTGAACAGCTGCGTCAATTCAGAGGTCACCTTGCAATTAAGCACCAGTGGGGTGCCCAAATGTAAACTTATCCTGTGCTCTCCTTGAGCACAGCTGCCCCTCAGACTGAAAAAAGGTGAAAGAAGTATGATAGATTATTTGTGTTTAAATAATTTTTATAACCAGAAGTGACAGCATTGCAAGAATGTTTTTATACAGGTGAGATTATGACTCAAGTCACACTATGTTTCCAGATATTCATGTGATTTTGGGGAAGGAGAATGAGGTCAGAGAAAATAAGTTATCTGAAGAGATGACTTTCTTTTGCAAAAGAGATCTTTCAGAAGCCTCAAGTCTCTATCTGCTTTTTTACACAGGTTAAATCTCTATCTGAACAAAGATCTCTCACTTGCTGTTGGTGTTTACAACCTTGTCCAAAAAGCTTATAAGCCATATCCGGTGAAGCTTTATCGAGAAACTAATGAACCGGTTAAAACAAAAACAAGGACATTTAATGGAAAAACGGGCAGCTTGCTCCTGCCTAGTGACACAAAAAGGGCTCAGGTAACATTTTGATTATGTGCCTGCTTTTTTCTTCCTCTGTGATGTGGGGGACGAGATGCTGATTCTCTTGCTGCTTTTGTTTGTATTTCACTTTCAAGATGAGGTGCAGAAATATTTACATCTGTGTGCTGCTGGGGATAGCCTGGTCACGCTGAAAGTTATGCAGAGTGAGTTTTTTCTCTGGTGTGAGTGTCAAGGGAAAGTGTGCTCAGGAATACAGGTCACTTCTTTCTGTAAGGCAGAATCAGCTTGTCAGAACCTGACCTTATGTGGTGTTGTGCTATCACTGCTGGTGTTATCTTTTGATTCACTAGGAATACATTTTGTCCCTTTTCTTAAACATACAAGTGGGAATCACAGCAGAGGGTTGGAGCTGTTTTCCAAACAACAACAAAAAAGGGCATATTACCTCTTTTTTTGTTATTTTGTTCTTTGTTTTGTCTCCCTGCTTGATAGTTTGGCTGATGCAGATTGAATGCCATGGTCTGTCCAGGCACAGCCTTATTTGAAAGCAGGATATGCAGTTGCTAGGTATGTTGTCACAAGTGCACTTCGTGTGTCTTTCCATGCCAAAGGCTCCTAAAGTTGTTGTCTTAAGATTAAACATTAAGTTTATTTGTACTGGACATTAGTTTCTTGAACTAAAGCACAGGAGATGAACAGAAACCTGAGCATTAAGCCCTGATATCTGACTTCAGGAGCTGGACTACAGTGTGTTTTTGTGTTGCATGAGTGATGCTTCAAAAGTGCTTTTTCTTGGTCACTGTTTCTGCCAGGACCAGGCAGCTAGTGTGCGCTTGCTGGAGGAAGTTTAGAATCACACAGAATGTCTGAAAATGTCTGATCCAACCCAGCCAGGAGGAAGACTCACAAAACCAGATCAGGTTGCTCAGGGTTTGTTTGGGGCATCTCTTCATTAGAGATGCGAGAGCCTCACTGTGCCAGGGTTTAACCGTTTTCTTAGGAAAATGTTTCTTGCTAATGTCCGGGTGGAATTTCCCTTTGGATAATGGTCAGAGATTGTGATTTGATGTTTCAGTGTGCAATAATGATGGCAGTTTGCTCTGTCTTGTCTGTAACCCTCTTTGCAGTAGGGGAAGACAGAGGTTGCATCCCCTTCCTGCCTGCCCTCCCCACCCTTGCAGTTTTTTGGGGTTTTGTGATTTTTTTTTAATTTTTTAATTTTTTTTTTAATGCTGGCAGCACTACTTTCTGCTCTTTCCTGGTTTAGACGTATGGGAACCGCCAGATTGTGCTGGAGAAAGAGGAAACGGAAGAATTAAAGCGGTTTGATTCTCCAGGCTTGTTTCTGATGGGCTTCAAACCACTTTCAATGCTAAAACAACACCACCATATCAAGCCCTCCCAGTTCATCTATCCAGAGGAGTCACTAGTAAGTGGTAAGTACAGGTGGCATTAGGGTAATCAACTGATTCTTAGTGGGGATCATTGAGTATAAAATCTCTGTCTAACTTAAAAACTTGCTAATGTTAAAAATAATAGAATTAACTGTTACTGCCCCTCTCAACTGCAGTTAATTCTTGTTTTCTTCAGTAACAGAAGAGCTGATGTGGCTTCATATTTCATCCATTGTGGCAAGCATCTAAGCAAAGTATGCAGATGTAGTCCCAAAATATTTGATTTTGTCATTCGTGAGTGTGGAGGATCCTAGTACCTGACAGGAATGCAAAGGTGGTTAAAAAACCTAAACAAACAAAAAACAAAGTCCAAACCAGTGAAGAACATTGCTCTTTTTAAGTCTGTATCAGCTGAGAGTGCAGACATAATACTCAAGAAGTATGGTTGAATTAACAGTACCTTACAGAAGAGGACGATGCTTAGGACTGCTTTTTCTCCCCTTTTTATGTGTATGTAAGTCTGCTTATCTGGAAATATAGTGTTAATCCATCAATAGTAAAGAAAAAACTCAGCTTCTCAATCTTTGGTGGATAAAGAGGACAGAGTTATGATCATATGCTTTACAGTGTCTGACTAAAGAAGAACCTTTATGCTAACTTCTCCAGCTTAGCAGTTTCCTGAATCAAACATCTTACTTATTTGTCCATCTTTTCCTGACCACCATATCTGGTAATATACCAAGCAAATGTGTGTCTTGAGAGGAATGCTGCAGTCTGAATTCTTAACGTGTTACTTCTGCAAAAGACCCTATGATGGGCTGATACTGTGGTGTCCTAACAGAAAAGAAAGAGGCTTTGTAGGTACCCGCTTCCAATTTGCAACTGGATTTTGTTGCTCAGGTGCTAGTGATTTCATTTTTTTCACCAGAACTCTCACTGTTCTGGTCAGGAGAGACACTAATACTGTCATTTTCATGGGCTTCCCCTTCCCACAGCTGATGTTTACCTTTGCGGTATTGCAGACAATTTTTCAATATCACAATATTTCAAAGAAGTCGCAGGTTTTGAAACTGTAATATCTAAGGTTGCATTCCTGAATGAAGGAGCAAAGTTGCCAATGTGACCAATGCAGTCTTTACCTTGCAGGGAGCACGACGCTATTTAATGCCTTATTGATGAAGTGCTTGGAGAAGGAGGTGATGGCGCTGTGCAGATACACCGCCCGCCGGAACACTCCCCCTCGCTTTGTGGCTCTAGTTCCTCAGGAGGAAGAGGTGGATGAGCAGAAAGTGCAAATTGCCCCTCCAGGTACCGGAAGAGATGTTTCTGTTCCCTGCCTGACTGGATACAGTCAGCGTAATAGCATCCTGTTTTGCGTGAAAATAGTCTTAGTGCTGCTCGCAACAACTTAGTCCTTTCCAACACCCCTTTCGTTCAGTTTCATCATTGTAAAATTTGTTTTTAAAACCCCAGATGCATCAGTGCTTGCTCAGGTATAATGTGGCTATAGTATTTTTCCCCACTTTCTATCTCTTTTTAGCAGATTCAGGCAACTGACCTAAAAATTAAAAGCACTTTTCTCTGTTTGCTGACTAGACAGAGTGCTCAGAATTTTATTTTATCCTTGGATACCTTTTAAAGTATTACATAAATAGTCTCGCGTACTGAGCCTCACACCTTATCAGCTGAGTGGGGAATGATTTGGGAGCAAAGGTGGACTCCTGCTTTTTTGCGTTTTCTCACCTTTTTAACTGGAAATTCTCTTCTGGGATAATATAAAGCAAGGAAGTAACATTGCTTGTGTATAAAGCAAAGAATTTCAGAAATAATGTGTGGGCATTAACTTAGTCTTCAAACAAGCCTTTTTCAAGCTCTTACCCAGTGAGAGATGAGGCAGGTGGACAAGTTGTTCTCCTGCACATAAAGCAAGTCACAAGTATCTGGCTCTTCGCTATGCATTTAGTTTGAATCTCTTTTGAAATTAGTGATGTTGGTTTTATATATGTTGAGATTGGGATTGAGTGTCATGTTGTAGGTACTAGAAAGTATTACGGATTGCTGCTGTAGCTAGTTTGGAGTCATCAGACCTAGATAATAAGCATCTCAGTCTTTCCCAAAAATTATTGTTTTGAGGATGTGGTATAACTGTTCCCTTGCTTCCCTCTCTTCTGTGTAGGTTTCCACATAATTTTCCTACCCTATGCAGATGACAAACGGAATGTTGATTTCACGGAAAAGGTGCCAGCCAGTCGAGAGCAGGTGGACAAAATGAAGGAAATAATTCAAAAACTCCGATTCAAGTACAGGTACGTGGAGATAAATAGTGTGCAGAGGAAGAAAGCACAACGCTACTGCGTGCTCTGTTGTACATGTCATTCAGCCATGAGATGAGATTTTGATGTTCTGATGCAAATTGCTTCCCATTGGAGTAGCTTTGTCCATACTTTATTCTTAATCTTTCTAAAGGCCCAGACAACACGTGCTTTATGTAGCATGTTCTGGAGTTCTTTATAGAATTGCTCTTGTTCTCTGGGCTGTTGTAATTTGTTGCAGAGGTTTCACATTTTATTGTGGTTCTGCCAATCTTGCACATCAACCTGGATCATTTAAATTGGAGCACTTCAGAGAGAATAGTTAGGCCTTTTTCATTATAGCTAGGATAAACTTTATGAAGTGCTTTTATGGGAGATTTTCTTCCCCGGGTATGTGGAAAGTAGCATAACTTATTAAAGTAGAATCCTTCTGTCTCCATCTGTCTTGCACAGCTTTCTAAGTCTCAGACACCTTTGATACATGACAGGATGGTGATTCAGCAGGTAAATTGAAAAGAGGAATGGATTGTTGTGTGAGTTAGAGGGTAGTTTTACTTTGAAATAAGTTGGTGATAGATCACGTGTGTCTTGTCTGTTGTCTTGGCAGCATGTATTGACATTTTGGGGGATTCTTGACAGGAGTGACAGCTTTGAGAACCCAGTTTTGCAGCAGCACTTCAGGAATCTAGAGGCTTTGGCGCTGGATATGGTGGAACCAGAACAAGCTGAGGATCTTACAAGTGAGAATCATTGGTGGGTGCGAAGGGAGGTGGGGTAGAGGTCTCTTAGCTTTGTTCTAAATCAGAGATGTGCTGGTACAAACCTAAAGGTCTTTTAAAAAATATTTCAGTCATGCAGTTCCAAGATACAGAATTCTGGATGTGTCCATTCTGATAAAAAATATTTCAGTCATGCAGTTCCAAGATTCAGAATGGACACATCCAGAATTCTGTAATATTGAAACCTTACACAGCAGGACGCCAGCAATCCAGGAGATTCCTGGAATGCATTGATGATAATTTCCTTCTCCAAGTGGTAGAAGAACCAGTGAGAAGGAGTGCCATGCTGGACCTTGTTCTCACCAACAAGGAGGGGCTGGTTGATAATGTGAAATTTAAGTGAAGCTTAGGCTGCAGCTGCCATGAAATGCTAGAATTCAAGATCCTCAGGGCAACAAGGAGAGTGCGCAGCAAGCTCTCCTCCTTGGGCTTCAAGAGAGCAGACTTTGACCTCTTCAGGCCTCTGCTTAGTGGAGTACCATGGGATGAAACCCTGAAGGGGAGAGGGGCCCAAGAAAGCTGGTCCATATTCAAGGACCATCTCCTCCGTGTCCAGGAACAATGCATTCCAAAAAGGAAGATAGGCAAGAATGTCAGGAGACCTGTGTGGATGAACAAGAAGCTCCTGGACACAAAGATAAAAAGAGAATTTACAGGAGTTGGAAGAAAAGACTGGGTAGTTGGAAGAAAAGACAGGTAGACTTGGAAGAATACAAGGAAGTGGCCTGAGTGGCCAGGGATCAGGTTAGGAAAGCTAAAGCCCAGATAGAATTAAATCTAGCCAGGGACATCAGGGGTAACAAGAAAAACTTTTATAAGCATGTCGATGATAAAAGGAAGGCTAGGGAAGATGTGGCCCCTCTCCAGAAAGGAACGGGAGAGCTGGTCATGAAGGATATGGAGAAGGTGAAGGTTCTCAATGACTTCTTCACTGGCAAGGGCTCTAGCCACACTGTCCAAGTTGTAGAAGCCAAAAGCAGGGACTAGGAGAATGAATCCACCTACTGTAAGTGAAGATCAGATTCGAGACCATTTAAAGAACCTGGAGGTGTACAAGTCCATGGGACATGATGACATCCATCCACAGGTCCTGAGGGAACTGGCAGATGAAGTTGCTAGGCCACTGTCTGTCATGTTTAAGAGGTCATGGCAGACTGATGAAGTACCCACTGACTGGAAAAGGGGAAACATCACCCCCATTTTCAAAAAGGAAAAAAAAAAGGAAGACCCAGACAACTACAGGCCAGTCAGCCTCTCCTCTGTGCCTGGCAAGATCATAGAGCAGATCCTTCTGAAGGCTCTGCTATAGCACATGGAAAACGTGGAGGTGATTGGTGGCAACCAACATGGCTTCACCAAGGGAAAATCCTGTCTGACAGATCTGATGGCTTTTTATGATGGAGTAACAGAATCAATTGACAGGGGAACTGATGTCATCTGCCTGGACTTGTGCAGGGCCTTTGACACTGCCCTATGTGACATCCTGGTCTCCGAGTTGGAAAGAAATGGATTTGATGGAGGGACCACTTGGTGGATAAGAAATTGGCTGGAAGATCGCACTCAAAGAGTTGCGGTCAATGTCTCAATGTCCAAGCGAAGACCAGTGACAAGTGGTGTCCGTCAGAGATAAGTAGCGGGACTGGTACTATTTCGCATCTTTGTGGGCGACATGGATAGTGGCATCGAGTGCACCCTCAGCAAGCTTGCTAATGACAGGAAGTTGGGTGATGCAGTCAACATGCTGGAGGGAAGGGATGCCATAAAGCGGGACCTTGACAGGCTTGAGAGGTGGGCCCAGGTCAACCTCCTGAAGTTTAACAAGGCCAAGTGTAACGTCCTGCACCTGGGCCGAGGCAAGCCCAAGCACAGATACAGGCTGGGCCATGAGTAGATCAAGAGCAGTGCTTGGAAGAAGGATTTGGGCATGTTGGTGGATAATTAGATCAGCAAGAGCCAACACTGCGTTGGCGGCCCAGAAAGCCAACCCTGTCCTGGAATGCATCAAAAGATGTGTGACCAGCAGGTCGAGGGAGGTGATTCTGCCCCTCTACTCTGCCCTTGGGAGACCCCACCTGGAATACTGCGTCCAGCTCTGGAACCAACACAAGACAGACATGAAGCTATTGGAGTGAGTCCAGAGGAGGGCTGAAACACCCCTCCTACGAGGACAGGCTGAGAGAATTAGACTTGTTCAGCCTGGAAAGAGAAGGCTCTGGGGAGACCTTGTAGCGGCCTTCCAGTACCTGAAGGGGGCCTACAAGAAAGTTGGGGAGGGAATTTTTACAAGGGCCTGTAGTGATAGGACGAGGGGTAATGGGTGGAAGCTGGAAGAGCATAGGTTTAGACTGTAGGAAGAAGTTCTGTACCCTGAGGGTGGTGAGGCACTGGAACAGGTTGCCCAGGGAAGTTGCAGATGCTCCATCCTTGGAAGTGTTCAAGACCAGGCTGGATGGAACACTGAGCCATGCCAAGGGGCTTGGAATTAGATGATCTTTGAGGTCCCTTCCAACCCAAATCATTCTGTGATTACACTGCTATCACTTTTAAGATCAAGGAAAAATTGATTACTTTGCTCTCCAAAATTAAAACTGAATTACTTTTTTTTTTCCTACGGTGACAAATGTTTTCTCTGAAATTCCTCTCTTAAAAAGAGTCTAATCAGTATTTCAGTCTGATAAATGGGCAGAATTAGAGAGTTGTTCTGCTGGGAGACAACTTTGCCACCTTGTGGCTGTGAGAGTTTCTACGTGAGAATATCTTGTCGGTGGATAGAAGCCTGCTCCTGAAGGGGAAGTTATTTTTTAAAAATTACATTGTGCTCCAGGAACAGTGTTACAGTAACTATTTGACTCTTCTGAAGTGGTACCTAATACACGATCTAGGGCTCTGTGCTAGGTATCATACAAATACCTGTCAGGAACAGGCTGTTCTGCCTCAAACTGCTTGCAACCTGAGATCGTAACCTGCTCTATTTTAAATGTCTGAGATTAGACCTGGGTAACAGTGCAGCTGGGGAGGAGATCTTCCACGTTGCTTCCACCGTGTCAGTTTTGTTTTGTATATATATTTCCTATTCAGGGATTTATAGGAGCCCATTACCTACTGGTATTACCTAGAGCTGTAAATATTTCCTCTGTGAATATCCTAACGTAGCTCTTTGCATTTTGCATGCTTGTAAGATGCTTGTGTGCTAGTTATTACAGCAGCACGTCTGGTGACAGCCTTGTTCAGGCCTCCCTGTGATCACTGTGGTTTTGAGAGGGCAAATCTTTCTCTTTCATCAGTGCCAAAGGCTGAAGAGATGAACCGCAGGCTGGGCAACCTGGTAGAGGAGTTCAAGCAGCTGGTTTATCCCCCTGACTACAATCCTGATGGGAAGGCTGTAAAGCGAAAACAAAGTAAGTAATGATGGTGCAGACACACAACGTGGTGTCTCTTTTCTGTTTAGAGGCTTCTGTGTTTGCGGCTTGTCTTGTAGTTTAAAGAAGCTGCTTATGCAGCAACTCTCTTTACTCCTCTCCACAATGAAGTGGATTTATAACCAGTGGTGATTCTTAGGGAGTAGTAGATATTGTGATACTCATTTGAAGAACTGCCAAAATGAGAAGCTGCATAGGGAAGTATAGGAAGTAATGTGGGTAAATTATTGCAATTTTAAAAAAAAATATTTGGTTTTTATGACAGAGTAGTGAAAATGTTCATGCTTTCAGTTTGTGTTGGTGAGGAAGCAGAGATTTATGCATGGACTGTTTAGCAAGTTCAAGATAAACATTTAGCCCTAAAGATGCCTAGGTAACACTGAAGTACGCATGTAGTTCGGGAGTCGATGAAACTCTGCTTAAAGTTGGAGTGTCAGTTAGCTGAACTCGCTGTGGAATCATTGTGTTCTGCCGTCTTGATGAGAATCCATTTGAAGCTTTATTTGGGAGTAATCTTTCCATCAGAACACAAAGTTTCGCATTTGAGTTTGAGATGACTCCTGTCAATTAAATATTGCATGACTTAGTGAATGATACCTGCTTCTTAAAATGTGGAAACTAGGTCTGTGAGTATGTAGGTAGCTGTTAAAGTACCATGTGCTAATGCCCATTAACTGTGGTAAGTATAAGAAATGTAGATTTCTTAATAGAAAGAAACTTTTAAAAATCTTGGTGATGTAAAACTTGTCTTTCTAGCTTCTGATGGTCAGACTGAGAAGAGGCCCAAGGTGGAAGTCTCAAAAGATGAACTGCGGAGTCATGTGCAGAAGGGCACTCTAGGCAAGCTCACGGTACCTGTTCTGAAGGACGCGTGCAGGCTTTACGGGCTGAAGGGTGGCGGGAAGAAGCAGGAGCTCGTGGATGCTCTAACCGAATACTTTAACGAGCACTGAGCAGGAGCGGAAGGCCCTGGTTGACTCCCGTCTGCTTTAAATTTTGGTTGTCTTATGTGGATGCTGTGTCTGTTCAAGAGAAGGTGACTAAATGGTGCCTAGCAATAGAGAAACTTTTTACTCTTAGTTGTGAAACGTCTCTCCAAAGCTGGATTTTGTTCACAGTAGCTAATGGCAGAATTAAATTCACTGCTAACTCAGGTCACCCACTGCAAGTGAACACAGTTGTGCCTTCCTGGTTTCTTAATAAAAGTTATTTTGGAATTCTTACTTTGCAACACTGGCTATACCATCTTTGCATCACAAAGGCAGCAAAACTCATTTCAATGTGCGTAAGAAAACAGAATGTTCATGTTAATAGCACCACATAAACTCAAGCAGCAGATGAAGCCTGCATGCTAATGGAGGGTATAAATGTGGTGTATTAGTCTCCTACTCAAATCAGCCAGTCAGCATCAGTACTTGTAATCAACTTGGGTTCTTTTCTGCCATCAGCATTATAAAGATTACCAGCAGATCACAAAGGAGAAAATCATTACTGGGAAGCAGTTCCAATCCTTTGGGCAAAAAAACAGCATTTCACAAACCTGCATAGTGTGGTCATCCATTTTTAAATGGTAATACCAAAAACTGGTTTAAAAAAGAAAAAAAAAAGTTATGTTCCCTGGAAGGCTGCAAACATTTACACAAATTCAATTACTGAAATGGCATAGAGCTTTTCCACCTCGGTAATGAGCATGAGTCAGACTACTGTGTAGGCTTCTGTACTCAAAGCTGTGCTTTAAAATCAGAAGAATCAAAGTTGTGACCTGGTTATGTCAGTATTTTTATTTTTTTAATTGTACTTACAAGGGCTGCATCTGGGGCCATGTTTTGGTTTTTAAGCTTCCAGCCCTGGCATGCCTCACCTGTCTTGCAGTGCAAGATGACTAAACCCAGTAGTTATTGTCCTTGCTCTAGGAAACAGCACTAATTGTTCAGCTAAACTAATGTTCTATGGGCTGCAAAGGTGGGATACACAAGGTGTCTGTTTTGATCTGTGTGGTATTTTAAGTGTTCAGGGATTCCTGTTTGGCACACAAACTGTCAGGCAACTTGTGGAAGAATTAAGCCATATATTAAGGTCGTGCCCATGCCATAGCGTGGCACGCATATTGGAACCAGATATGACCACCCTGGCTGTGCCAGCACACTGCTCCCTTCCACCTTCTCAAAAGAGCAGCTCACAGTAGTGAAGCTACATAGTCTACTATACTTCCAGTCAGCCTGCATTATAGTAGATATATTTCATAAAGATTTGTCTAAGCAATCAATTTATTTTGCCCTTCAGCAAAGAAGTTACTGTAAATGCTTGTCTTAGAAAGACTTGAACGCAATAAAATAGTGAGGCTATCCTGTCCTTAATTCTGTGCATTTTCATTCCCCAAATGCTCTTGTTAACTTCTCTATTGGGCTTGCCAAGCCCCAGGCACAATGTGTTCCAGGCTTTGGATGACTGTGGTGTGTTTGTTCTTAGATCTTCTTCCTGGCTTTTTTTTTTATTTTTTTCCAATAGCAGGCTGTCACATTAAGCTGAGGTTTAACAGGGATGGTGATGGAAGGCTTCAGAGCAGAAAATTAGACAGTTTTGCTTGCTCAAGAATCCTTTATTTCTGCTCCTTATGTGCTCTATCTTACATCAGCTGTCTTGGCATGGTAAAATAGGGCAAATCCTTTATTGAGCTGTGGTTTTAAACACTACTAGCTCAACAGTAGAAGGGAAGAACAGCCTTTCTAAAACCCATACAAATGAAAGGACTCGCACATCTTTGTATTAAGTTCAAGGATGTTACTGTTATCAGCCACTTAAAGCAAATTGTGTCTGTATTTTTTGTATGTCTATTGTGAGCTGATTCCATCTGCTGGGGATGTACTTAGCAAGTGTGTGTATGGAGTTAGGGCCTCTGTGGAAATGTTACAGGAGAACTTATTTTCCCTTCTGCTGTTGTACCTGTTGGTTTTTCTGTGCTAGCTTTGCTTTGGCACCCTGCAATACAAGACAGGTTTGAGATGACCCATTCCAGGTCATATCAGACAGAGCTTTTGACTCTTCTGCTTAGAAGAGTAAAGTGAATTTTTTCTACAACATGCATTTAACTAAAACTAGCTCCATAAAACCATTGCTAATCTAGAAACCTGGTGGTGCCTTACTCTTTTCCAGAACATGAGATTATCTACCATTCTCTTCTTGAGACATAGGTTGACTTATCTGAAAAATTACTTTGCTCTCTGTTGTCTTTGCCATGACTTAAAGGGTTCATCTCCAGCCAAGTGACAGCAGCTTCCCTAAAAGCCTGAGAGATTTTTAGAATTACTGGCCAGGTGTAGGGTACTTGTCAGTCACACAAGGCTGCTCTCTACTATGTATTTTGTCCTTAAATTCCCTAGGAAAACCCAAGCTCACCGGTACTGTCCACACAAAGAAAACGGAAGGACTACAAACTAGTGCACTGCAATAGCATTTAGGAAATCTGTGAGCAGTTTAGCTTTACAAGTAGGAACACTCAAATTTGCAAATGCTTTCCCAAGGGAATGACAATTATCTCTAGCTTTGACAGCAATTTTATTTTTCTTAAAAAGTATTTAAAAAATAAGCAAGGTAAGAGGTTTCCCCTTATGCGCTGCCCTAAGACTTCTGCTCCCCATACACCTCTTGCAGAAGTCTGGTTTCAAGAGAAACAGTTGTGCTACATGTCCTCATCTTGGCTCCATCCGCTACCACAGCAGCTGCTGCCTCACGCAGTGTCTTATCCTCAGTAGACTAAACTAGTCAGAAACACAGAGTTAGTCACACCTGTTAGAGGCTGAAGCTTAGCAGAAATACTGCAACGTGGAGAAAGCTCCTGAGCGGGTTAAAAAAGCCCTGAGCAGGCAGATATATGGAGATATAGAAGGGGAGGATTTTTTTTTTTTTCCTTAAACATCAAACAGGAAACACAGTCATATAATGACTCTTCAGTAAGTAATCCAATGAGAATGAATGTGTTGAAAGGGAATGATAGAAAAGGGGGGGCGAGAGTAGGCAGAAACACTAAGAATTAAGCCATTATTAAACAAAAATGTGGCATTTTGAAATGAAACACTGATATCAAAACTATAACCTCAACTGAAGCTAGACATTTATTCCCCCTGACTTCACCTTTTCTATTCCATACACACTTAAAACTCATGGGCATTTAGACCAACAGTCTTTCTATAGCTTGCTGGACAGACTGGATCTGAGGCTTTAGCTGTGATCCCTCCTTGATGGTGATGGAGCAGGCAATGACAGGCCGGGAAACACCACATGCTCGGCCCAGGGCTTGCTTGGAGCGCACAAACACGTACGGTACGTTCTTGTCCTCACAGAGAAGAGGGAGGTGCAGGATGATCTCCAATGGCTCTGCATCTGCTGCCATCACAATGAACTCTGCTATCCCCCGGTTCAGTGTTTTGGTGGCTGTAAAACAAAGGGGAAAACTAAGTCCAGGTCCTTCTGGGAGGGAGTCACTCACAAGCTTGCAGCTGGGGTACTGTGCCCAGCGTTGCTCTCAAGCACAAGCAAGTGAGGCCAGCGCGGGGCTGCTGATGGGCACATGCACACCACTAGCGAGAGGAAGATGGGGGCAGTTGGGTTTGTTCAGCCTGGGGAAGCTGGTGGCTCATGGCTTAGACAAGTGTTCTCTTCGCTAGGTTAAAAACTGGCTGGAAGGCCAAGCCCAGAGACTGGTGGGGAACAGAGTTACATCCAGTTGGCAGCCAGTCATGAGTGGTATACCTCAGAGCTTGGTTTTGGGGCCAGTCTCGTTTAATCTCTTTATTGATGATCTGGATAAGGGGATTGAGTGCACCCTCAGTACATCTGCAGACAACACCAAACTGAGCGAGAACATTGATCTGCTCGAGGGTAGGAAGGCTCTGCAGAGGGATCTGGACAGGCCGGATCAATGAGCCAAGGCCAACTGTGGGAGGTGCAACAAGGCCAAGTGCCAGGTTCTGCCCTTGGGTCACAACAACCCCTGGCAGCGCTACAGGCTTCAGGAGGAGTGGCTGGAGAGCTGCCTGGTGAAAAAGGACCTGGGGGTTTTGGTCGCCGCTTTCTGGTGTAAAAGGACCTGGGGGGTGTGATCAACAAGTGGCTGAATATGAGTGTGCCCAGGTGGCCAAGAAGGCCAACAGCATCCTGGCCTGCATCAGAAATAGTGTGGCCAGTGATTGCCTCCCTGTATTCGTGCTCCTATACTTGGCACTGGTGCGGCCACGCCTTGAGCACTGTTGTCAGTTTTGGGTGCCATAGTGTAACAAAGACATTGAGGTGCTGGAGTGGGTCCAGAGAAGAGCAACAAAGCCGGTGAGGGGTCTAGAGAAAAAGTCTTTTGAGGAGCAGCGGGGGGAGCTGGAATTGTTTAGTCTGGAGAAAAGGAGGCTGAGAGGAGACCTCATTGCTCTCTACCATTATCTGAAAGTGAGGTGGGTGTTGATCTCCCAAGTAACAGGAAACAGGACAAGAGGAAATGGCCTCAAGCTCCACCAGGGAAGGTTTAGATTGGATATTAGGAAAAATTTCTTTACTGAAAGAGCGGTGAGGCATTGGAACAGGCTGCCCAGGGAAGAGATGGAGTTGCCATTCCTGGTCGTGTTAAAAAAAACATGTAGACGTGGCATTTTAGGATATATTTGAGTGTTCGTGCTAATGTTGGGTTGACAGTTGGACTAGATGATCTTAGAGGTCTTTTCCAACCTTAATGATTCTATCAAGAGAAGGCTGAGGTGGGAGTAGGGTGACATCACTGCTGTCTTCTACTGCTTTGAGGGGATTGCAGAGAAGATGGAGCCAGGCTGTCCTTGTGAGTGCACGGAAAAAAGGACAAGTTGCAGACTCTGACTAATGCATTAGGATGATTCTGGGAATATGATGGTATTTTATAATTTCTCAGCCCCATTACGGAAGGGTTTAAGCCATGGGACACGGGTCCTGAGAGGCTGTGGAGTTTCTATCCTTGGGGATTGTTTTTTCAAAAGTTCAATAAGGCAAAGCCCCAAGCAACGCAATCTAAATGTGAAAGGAGCCGCTCTCTGAGCAGGCTGCACTAGAGGTACCCTCAAACCCACATCTTTTTATGATTCTGAACTGGTTAGGCATCTGGTAATCCCAGGACCACACCACTAAAGTGTGCAGGATCACAGGACATGCACCAGGAGCACGGTTTGGACATCTACCAGAACTGCATAAAAGTGTTGAAAAGATTACAGCTTAGTTCTGTCCCTGAATACTGCTTAAGCAGGCTAGAAGGAGGAGGAAGGTGACAGACACTTGCAATGGCCAGATCTATTTAAAATTAGTAGTTCACAGCTAGAGAAAGCAGATAATCTCTAGCCACAGCTTCTCAGAAAATCCTTGCTAGGGTTTCTAGCATGTTTTGCAACACACAGGTCTCACCTTCATTGGCTCCCTTGCGTAGCTGCTTATAGTTGCAGGATTGCTGCACAAGATCCAGTAACGTTTTGGTGAGCTGTGCATCAGCCAGGGGGTAAGCTTTGGGATTCACTTCTGCCTCACTCTAGAGAAAGGAAAAAGTAAAGAGTATCACAACAGGAGTAAAAGAGGCTTTGCTGTGAACAACACTACACAGGCATCATATCCACCACATATATTGACTAATGGAGTCACCTCGCTGTTCTCAGTTGCTCTGCACATACACTAAAAGTCCCACTGCATTTTATTCATAAAGCGGGATTCTTCTCATATTCAAAGTGGACAGTATGTCTGCTCACACAGGCAGCCAGTTTAGATCCTACAAACTTGCAGCAGTGAACTTAGCGGGCAATCTTCAGGCATTTGCTGCTGCGGATAATATATAAAATGAAGGGGGATGGCACACAAGGAAAAAGCTACAAATTACAAGCAGCTCCTAAAAATTGACATCAGTGGCGTAGCAGAAGGGCGACAAGCGGCATTAACGACGGGCAGAACGGCAACGCCTTCGGCTCCCACCGCTGGGCTGACCCCAGGCCGTGATGCTCCGCTGCCGGGCCTCACACGCGGCTACGGCACCGACACTCCCGGT